ATATGTGCATTCATTTCGCATTGAGTCGTGCAATTCGACTCTTCGGCCATCATGCATCGAGATGCGTGATTGGTGGCACGAGGATCGAGGACTACACTCCTTGAAGAGTAGTCATGCATACATATGTGAAAATACTTTGCCATGCCACTTTCTTGCTCTCTATTGCAGCAAATCAGAAATCAACAGCCTTCTGGAGCTTCGTACCGCATTCCGGGATTAAGTGTAAACAGAGGCGAATCAGGGCATCGCAATGGACTTCTGCGCCAAGCAACTCAAGCATGCATCTTTCATCATTCGGAACAGAGCTAAGGCGGTCCATAAGCTTGCATGCTAGTTTTTCCACTTTCCTAGTTAATTTGTTAATTAATTAGGGTTTTGTAATATTTAATTATTTATTCGGACTATATTATTCTTTTGGACCCTCTGAGCGAGGGCACAATTGTAATAAGTGTGCGTGAGTGTGATGTATGTCTTCCAACCCCACGTCTTTCTCCCTTTTATTTATCAGCTTATGATGGTTAGATTAGGGCATGTTTCAATTAGCATACAGTATGATAGCATGTTTGCATTCATTCATTTGTTTTGCATGCACCGGGCTCGGCGCATCATACTAACTGCATTTGTATTTCAATTCCGAGTTGAGTACTTGTTAGTTGTAGCATTTCATATGCCATCTTTAGAATAGCCGAGCCTATCTTAGTTGCATTTTGCATGTGTTGCATTAGGCATTTCTGTATAGTTAGGATCATGCATGGATTTCTAACATAGCTTCTGTTTTGGCTTGGAGTACTCGGTAAGTTTTATGCTTTAGCATCCTTGCATGCGTGTGAGTGACTGCCATGATAGCATGCTTACCATGAGGCTAATTGCTTATGTGATATACCTGCCTGAATGCCTGTAGGTGAAGGTTGGGTTATTTGGATTGGAACAATTTATCAATTGTGAGTTTTAAGCCCACCAGATAGTGGCAAATCATCTTGTTTTCTAAGCTCACCTGAGGGTGGCAAATCTGCATTTTAAGCCTACTTGCGAGTAGCAAACCATTTTCAAAACAAACATGAGATGTGTCATTCCAATTCAGGCGATTCGGTCTATATTTGTATGTTGTGCGCATCACATAGTAAATCTAGGCTAATAACTGGAATAAGAATGCATAATATTTTCAAAACCCGATATCATGGTTAGTAGAGGCCGATCTTTGATCGGGCGAGCGGGGGTGCTCACGAAGTGACCTTCCCCAATCGTACCCAAGTTCCCGAGCCGAGGCAACTTTGGTGATGACGGACACGTGGCCTTAGGCAAACGAGTCAGGGTTTCCTAAATTTCCCATTAAAAAAACATTTAGGTGGCGACTCTGTATCTGGCAAAGCAGTCCATGTTTGGCACTTCTTTTAAAAAATCTATTTTCAAAAATGATTTGCCGGATTTGGACTCTTTGATGATTTCATCGGTCTTGCATTGCACTCTGCAAGATTAGATACAGGACCGTGACATTGAGTCCTGAACTGTAGTGAGCCCAATGAACAAGACGGGGGGCATTTCCCTCCCGGGACATTCGGGGACGTCTACAAGCTTGGAGTACAATGTAAGTGTTTACGCTTTAGCATACTGCATGAGATGTGTATGTTGCCATGTTAGCATGCTTGCCATGAGGCTATTTGCTTAACTGCTATAACTGCATGAATGCCTGTGGATGAAAGCTTCATTGCTTGAATTGGAACAATTCATCGAAATGTGAGTTTTAAGCCCACTTGAAGTGGTAAATCATCATGTTTTAAGCCTACCTTCTTTGGTGGCAAATCCGCACTTTAGCCTACTTGAGGGTAGCAACTTCAAACCACTTTTCAAAAAAACAAACATGAGATGTTTTGTTCCAATTCTCGTGATTGAGTCTATACTCGTATGTTGTGTGTATCACATAGTAAGTTAGCTAGTAACTGGTATAAGAACACATGTGTTTTTAAAACAACATATCATGCTTAGTAGAGGCCGGTCCTTTGATCGGACGAGCGGGGGTGCTCATTTTAGGACCTTCCCCTCTCGTACCCAAGTTCCCGAGCCAAGGCAACTTTGGTGATGACGGATACATGGCCTTTGGCACGAGTCAGGGTTTCCTAAATTTTCCAAAATAAAATATTTAGATGGCGACTCTGTAATCTGGCAAAGCAGTCCATGTTTGGCGCTTTTTGATTAAAATAGATTTTCCAAAACGATTTGTCGGATTTTGACTCTTTGGTGATTTATCAGTCTTATATTGCACTTTGTGAGATTAGATACAGAACCGTAACAAGAGTCTGAACTGTAGTAGCATGAACCAAATCCACACCCTCTCCGAAAGGGGGGGCACGGATGAAGTTCGGTCTACAGGTATGAGAGCGGAAAGTCATAAATTGAGCACCCCACTCACCCGATCAAAGATCGGCCTCTACTAATCATGATGTGAATTTTATGGACAGCATATGCTCATGTTCTGATTTTGTTATGCTAACTTACTATGTGAGGCACACAAGTATAGACCACGTCGCTCACTTTAGAATGCTTTGATTTCATGTTTGTTTTGAAAAGAGTTTTGAATATGTGCTACTTGAACAAAAAAATGAGCTCATATGTACATTTATCAAAGTCGTTCTAACTTAAGTGAAATGGCCTTCATCCACAGGCATTCAAAAAGGTATTTCCAGTAAGTCCTCATGGTAGTATGCTTGACATGGCAGCATAAACACATATGTAATATGCTAAAGAAAAAAAAGTGCTCACCTAGTACTCCAAGGCAAGCCAAGAAGAAGTTAGTTAAAAATAATGCAAGACCCTAACTATAGACATAATTAATGCAACACATACACAATGCCACTATCGGATTTGGCTTCTTTATTCGCGAAACCCTTTTGGCCCTATATGTTTTGAACCAATTGGATTTTGATTTGGTCGAGTTTTTAGGTATCGTATTGTTTTTGGCTCATTCTCACAGGTTTTTCTTGGTATTTGTGTGCTCTCTTCCGAGTTTTGAATTTTTTCTCTATTTTTCTCTCTCTTAGGGTTTGGGTTTTTGGGTTTCCCACTTATTTCCCTCATTTCCCTTGTTTTTCTCTCACCACCCACCATATTCTTCATGGGCGACGATATTCCCCATGATGGTTCCCTTCGCGTGGTGCCGGTGCTTCTGCCCGCTATGGGTATGGAGGAGCTGATGATTGAGGAGGAGGACGGGGCGGCAGAGGACATTATCGCTGACATTGTTGCGGAGGAGATCTACCCTCCAGAGCTTGAGCTCGAGCTACTGCCACTAAGGGTGAGGCCTTTCGATCCAGCCATCTACCACAAGCATACACATGCGATAGCTCCTGGCAACATGTTGCAGTTTGAGGACTTTGCTCGGGGTGCGCCTGAGGACTTTCTCTTGAGAGAGCGTGCATCAAACCTCTCCCATCACGCCTCTGAGGTAAAAACCTTTGCTCTTTTTTTTTGCACTTTGCTTGCTTTGACATTCATTACAATCTTTCATCTGCCATGCATTTTAAGAAATTCCTCTTTCAGCACAGGGTGATACTCTTGCCTGGAGAGGCTATGGGGCACTGACAGCAAAGGACTGGTACTAGGAGCTCCTTGCCAGAGTCCGAGAGTTGGTTGATGAGGCAAGCTTCCGCCTATTTTGCTCAGGGCTCTCATAGCTCCAGGCGAGCCGACCCTTGCTTGGCGCTCTGGTAGAGAAATGGTGAGACACCACTAACTCATTCCACTTCTTCTCCACATGGGAGATAACGATGACCCCATACGACTTCTTTATGATTACAAGGCTGGGAGTAGGGAGAGATCCGATCCGCTTCGATATTCACATGGGCTAGTGAGAGGTAGCCTGCGTCCATTTGCTTGGAGCACACCCTCCCTTGTACAGACCGACCATGGTGAGATACAACTGGTTCTATAGCCACTTCCATGGGAGTTAGCCAGAGACTCAGGAGCAGATCGAGCAGTACACCCGAGGCTTCTTAATCTATCTTCTCGGTACTACCTTGTTTACGAATAGGTGTAACACCGCGGATCTATATCTGCTCAGTGCCTTGGTGGTGTTACTACTGGTGCGCTTCTATGACTGAGGTGGTGCTAGCCTCGCCACTCTATATGGCTATATGAGCTCTAGTTCCCGCAAGAAGGAGAACAAGGTCGGAGGCTATTAGAGAGCTTGGGAGGTACATATTGCACTTTCTATTTCCATTTGTGTTTGTAACCTGTTGACTCACAAACTGTTCTTTTCTTGTAACTCTAGGTATACGTTTACTTCTCCACCCTCGCCCTTGTTCCGAGAGATGAAATGAAGGCAACTGTACCTCACTCCAGGCGATATGATGGTAGGTGCTATCCCCAGCGCCGCAGCATCACTACCTTCGCTTATTACTGTCACTTTTTCAATATAGTGACGGCGCACGAGGTAATTTGAAACTCATGCGAATTCCATTCCATTTCTATTGCTTTCATTCCATACTTTGACAACTGAGACAATTGCCAACAACTGACAACTATGAATTCTCTGTTTGTAGGTTACCTAGCAGCCATGGGTGGTCATGCCGACGGGGATGAGGGATGAGTATGCTCGGTCTTCGGATACCTTCAGGTTACGGATTTTGCTAGAGGGTCTTTTTTGCTGGACCTAGTACTTGGGAGAGTAGTTTGTGCGATAGACCCTGGGCCTACCAGACTCCGTTGTTCCTGCTCATTCCCCTACATCCATGAGGATTACTGATAGCCTACCAGTCGAGGCTATTGTGCAGTTCATGGCAGGGCTGGACATCGATCTCTTCCGTGGGGTTAGAGACTACACGGATTTCACCCGGACCCACCTCATGCCGGTTCTGACCAGAGCTCACGCAGGAGGTGCTGCAAATGTTCCTGCTGCTAGAGGTGTCGCTCGTGCAACTGAGCTTGATATTTGACGGGCTGCCCCATCTGTACATGTTGCTGGTCTACCTATGATCCCAGCCACGATCACATACTGGCGGCCGAGTATGACAGCTCACCAGATTCTAGTTGAGTACCCAAAGGAGCACGAGTACATCAGGGACCCCGACATGCAGCAAGTATGCATTTTGTCTTGCAATTTGTGTTTCATATTCCTTTTTCTGTATACTGATGTTTAAATTCACTTGTAGGTGTCAGTGGAGTACGCGGATGGCCTTCTTCAGCTTGTCGACTCCTTGGTCCAGATAGTATAGAGGAGAGAGGCCCTGCTCGCCTATCATGGTCATCAGGCACCTTATTTTCTCATTCATCTGACTGCTCTGATTCTCTTCTTGACATACTTATACTGATCCTGCACTAAACTGTACTAGTACTCTGTTTCTTGTTTTTAGTCTCTGCCTGTACCTGTGGCACCGGTGGCACCTCTTTCGGCTACAGGGAGGAGACGTAGACAAGCTTCTGTACGCGGTAGGGGTGAAGGTAGAGGTCAGGGTAGAGGTAGAGGTGCTTGGAGTTAGAGTGGAGAGTCTCAAGCACAGGAGACTTCCTCAACTTTAGAGTCAACTTTGAGTGGAGATGATGCTGAGACTAGCGACACTGAGGGGACAATGAGCAAGCTCTCCGAGTCTTAGGGCAGAGAGGATGAGGTTGGTTCTGAGTCACACTCCTCTGGCGACAGCGGTGCTGACGGTGACAGCAATCTTGAGTCCCCTTCTCGAAAAAGGATGAAGAGGGCCTCTCAACGCACTTGATGTGACTGACACTGATTTTTGCACTCTTTTTATTCTTTTCTTTTGTTTTGGTAGTTCAAAACTTTTTATATCTTCAGATAGGTCTTTACTTTTCTATTTTGAAAACTTGTATTTTCTCTTTTGTAAAAACTATGATCAGGGTCGAACCCTGCAATTTTATAAAAGAAAGAATTTTTGCTTTGTGTAGCATCTTGAGCATAGCACAATACTTGCATAAAAATGATTGTATTTGAAATTGAAACTGCTTGTATTCGAACGAGTTCTTAATCGGATATTGAGCCCACAACTGACCAAAATATAAAATACAACTCAACAAATGAAAAACAAAGTAAAAAAAAAAAAACTAGACACACCTATTTACACTTAATAGAAACAAAAGACTCAAAACAACACTTAAAAACAAAGACGTTAAACATAACACTGCTGCCCAAACTGTTTGGTCGGCATGCTTGGCTGGCTGGCCAAGACAATGGACGGCTAGCTGGAAGAGTGGCCGACCGGCCAAGACTTGTGGCTGGACAATTGGCAACAATTGTCAACCACTCACACAACCTTATCTTCTATAAAGGTCTTCTTTTGCTATTTCTTTAATAGAACATCATCTTTTTTGCTAGTTTTCTCTGAAAATGGAGATTTTCCTTGTTGAGAATCTCAAAGATTAGACGGCCACTTTGGTCGGCCCATAAAAGATAAATTTCAACGATTTTGGCATAAACACTTTTTTTTCTTTGAGCCATACACCGTTTTGTTTTTCGCTCCTCCATGCTGCTGCCCGCTATTGGGACACGGTTACTCATGTGTTTTGCTTTGGATCACAAGAGATGTGTCCCACTCTCGAAGAGTTTCAAGTGTCAATGTAGTCCTAGCGCAATGAAGAAGTTATGCCTCAGCCACTTTTTAGCCATGCATGGGCTCTTTCAATGAGGCAAAATCTTTGGCCCATGGTGAAGAGTTGAACATTCTTGGTTTGATTCACCATTTTGCTGACATCGAAGGTAGGCGCGACCTTTTTTGGCAAAGTTACCACCAACATCCTCTCTGTATATGCCTACTCGCTAGTGTCTTCTTGCCCCTGGTGGCAATGGAGTCAGCATCCGACTGATTGAAGTGGCCCAACGCCTTAAGGAGGGTCAAAGCTGTATAGGCTTGGCATTGGCTGAAACCATAATGAGTTTGGATGCTTTCCATTGGCGAGAGACTTCTTGGTTTGCGGGAAGTCCACTGCTTCTTCAGGTACTGTTTCCCACCATTTCTCATTTATGACTTCTTACATCACTTTGGCACTCACTCTCTATTTTTCTTTTAAAAGCCCTTTCCTTACTTTTTCTCTTAATGCACATCTCTCTATTCTTTAATCTCTCTTCTTTTTCATCCCATCCTAGGTGTGGCTGATGGATAAGCTGAAGGTTGTCGTCCCTTGCCCAGAGTATTTGGCCAGATCTTACTTCTTTCGCCCACGGTTAGTGGACTTTCTTCAGGTACTGTTTCCCACCCTTTCTCATTTATGACTTCTTACATCACTTTGGCACTCACTCTCTATTTTTCTTTTAAAAGCTCTTTCCTTACTTTTTCTCTTAATGCACATCTCTCTATTCTTTAATCTCTCTTCTTTTTCATGCCATCCTAGGTGTGGCTGATGGATAAGCTGAAGGTTGTCGTCCCTTGCCCAGAGTATTTGGCCAGATCTTACTTCTTTCGGCCACAGCTAGTGGACTTTCCCACAGAGGGATTGTGGTGCGACTGGATGTGCAGCAGATCCACAACTGACATCACTTGGAATGCGAAATTGAAAGCCTAAATGGCTCAAGAGAGTATAATTGGTGAATTGAATTATTTTAATTTCGAGTATCAGATCGTATGGGAGTTTAATTAAATATTCGATTTAGATTTGTAAAATTGAGATTTGATTAATTAGGTCAGAATTGGAGTTAATTAAGTTATAAGAATTGGAAATTAAGGTTATTATGAATTAAATTTATTTATGAGGTATTCAATTGAGTGTGTAATTTATTGGCGAAGATTTTGAAGTTTAATTTGAAATTGAAGGCCTTAATGATTTAGGAAACCAAAATTGAGGATGGAAATAAGTCTAATATTTGGAGCCTTTTGGAAGTTTGATTAAAAATCTGATTCAGAATGATAAATCTTAATATAACTAATTGGGCTCTAAAGGAAGTCAATTAGATAAATTAAATTATATTGAATTTATGATTAGTTATGATTAATTTAATTGTGTGTTAATCAAGATTTATTAAGAATAAGAGTTATTTAATTAAATTAATCTTAACCATAAATTAAATTGTAGAATGATTTAGAGTTTGAGAATATATGTGGGTGTGTATGCAAAGAAGTATGTGTGTGTGTGCAGAGGAATCTGGGTGTGTAGAGAAAATTTGGGTGTGTACTAAGAAACCAGATGTGTGTGTGTGTGTGTGTGTGTGTGTGTGTGTGTGTGTGTGTGTTGTGCTAGAAGCTTAAATCAAGGTGCACATGTGCAATATGTGTCAACAAGAGAGGTGTGTATGTGTTGAAAGATTTGAATGAAGGCCCATTTGGGTGTTCTGTTGGGAGCAAACCTGCATGGGTGTGTGTGTGTGTGTGTGCGTGTGTGTGTGTGTGTGTGGGAGAGAAAGAGAGAGAGAGAGAGAGTATTCCATGTACTTAGTTGCTGGAGAAAAAAAAACAAGAAATTCAACCAATGAAGACCTAAGGTAAGAAATTGAAACAGATTTTATAAATAATTTAACTAAAAGCTGAAATTAAGAAATAATTGGGTTCAATTCCATGTAAATAAAAAGAAAATGACCAAGATGATGAAGAAATGGAGTTAGGTTCAAATTTATGGAAGTTAAATTGGGAATTAATTATGTTGAGTTTGATTTTTGTAGTCTTACATGAGTTTGAGTCTAATCTCTACATGCATGAACATATTCTTCAATTTTGATATTCTAATTATACATGCATCATAGATTTAAATTAAATGAGTTTATGAACAAATGAGTTCAATTTGTAAATTAAAGGAGTTTTGATGTAAATGATTTAAAAATTGATCATATTTTCTTGAGTAATTAAGAGTTTGTGTGGTTTTAGACAAGTCACGTATGAACCCAAGTTTTGAGATTATATTTTGAAAGTTCAATTCATGTTTTAGATTTGTGGGTTTGAAATAAGGTTTGATGTGAAGACTATAAATTAAATTTAAATTTGGACAAATGTGGAAATAAATTATAATTTATATTTGAGAATAAAAAATTAGTTTGATTTTGAATTAAATTTCATACATGCAAATATTTTTGAAAGGGGCTTTATTGCTTCAATTTATGTTTCATGAAGTAAAGAAAGATGGTTTTTGAAACATAGAGAATTTGGCACCAAATCACACATGCATACATAATTTTGTTGAATCTCATGAATTTGAGTGTCATTTCTACCATTTGAGATGAAATTACATGTATGCACAATCCATGAAAATGTAGAATTTATGTGCATAAGTTATGAAGTTTAAAGAAATTAATTTAAAATAATTTGGGCTTGTATGATGAATCCTTAGAGATTTGAGCTTCAAATCTTGTAGAATTGGCATTATATCTTGTTAGAAGTTGTATGGTTGCTATATAGGACAAAACATGTAAGTTGTATCATTTGAAGTTATGTTTTGAAGCACAAACAACATTCTAGAAAACCTATAAATCGACTTCATCGCTCGAGTGGAGAAGTTGTCGCTCGAGCGTAAAATGAAAGCAATTCAGTATTTTTGCAGACCAAGGGGTCCGCTGGAGCAGCCAATGTTGTGCTCGAGCGAAGAGCCATGTCTCAAAAAATTTTGAAAAGTTGTTTCATGTTTCGATTTTCGTTCTCTTTTATTTTTAAGCACTCTTAGGCATACATTGAGCATTATAAATAAATTAAAAGATTAAGAAAGAAGCCTAAGAGAACTAAACAAGTTAAGAATGGAATAAATTGTATTGTGACCTGATTTCTATCTGTATTATGAATTGTATAGGGTCAACTACAAGGGCGAACCAGGCATCTGAACACTGTAAGTAATACTTTAGTAAAGATATGTTCATATATGCTATTTTTAAATACTACTCATGTGTAAGTGTTCTGGACTTGTGAATTCGAATTATGAATGAGCATTTTATTCATCTAATTATGCAAAACTATAATGAAATTGATAAGTATGAAATCATTTGAATGGACCAAAGATCATTCTAAATGAATATGAAATGGGCCTAAAGGCCATTCTGTATATTTGATTATATGGACCAAAGGTCATTCTGTAAGGATATGAAATGGGCCCAAGGCCGTCTACTATGTGTGTCAAGGACACGAAATAGGCCTAAAGCCGTTGAATACGAATGTGAACATGATCACGAGTATAAATATGCGCATAGATATGATTATGGAAGTGATGGACCTGAGGTCGTTCAGTATAAACATACGCATAGATATGAATATAGAAATGATGGACCTGAGGTCGTTCAGTATAAATATGCGCATAGATATGAATATGGAAATTATGGACCTGAGGTCGTTCAGTATAAACATGCGCATAGATATGAATATGGAAAAGATGGACCTGAGGTCGTTCTGTATTATGATTGGGCCCGAGGCCGTTCTGTAATGTCATTGGACAAGTATTTTGGACCCCAGGTCATTCTGTATGAATGAGTATTTTGGACCCAAGGTAGTTTTGTATGAATGAGAACTTGGACCCGAGGTCATTTTGCCCCTCTGATACGTCTTGAGCATGATAGATTGAACTTGAGATCGTTTTTAATTTGATTTACATGTAATATGTACTAATGTGATTTACTTAATTACAGATCTCATTCATATAACCTCTTTACTTTGGTATTATTCACTGGGCGTTAGCTCACTCTTTATATATGTATAGGTGAGCAATTGGAGGATCAACATTAGAGTTTGTCCCGAAGTTCACCCTTTTTGTCAAGCCACCCAATAAGTGCCTCTGTGTGGAGGCTTCATTTTATTTTGTCAAGCTTTGGTTAAACTTTGTATTTTATTGAAAGTCATTCATGTAGTGTGTGAGATATAAAATATGTCTTTTTTACCGTAGCTTCTGCTATGTTACCACTGCCTGTACAAAAAGGTGGCCGGCTGGCCTTGGAAAATGGTTGGCCGGACAAGAAGGTGGCCGGCCGACCATTATTTTCGAGTTTAACCCTGCTGCGAAAGAATTGAAATAGAGCAAAAATAGAGTGTTTCTAGGAGATGTTTATCCTCTTTGCTCTTCACTATCATGAAGATGATCAAGGGAGGAGTAGATTCGGTTCAAAAACCATTAATATTCGCACGTTTGTTGCGTGATGATCTTAGAACTGATAGGACAAAGGCTCAATGAAAAAAATGAAAGACCAACAATACCTCCTCCCTATCATGGAGTTATCTCAAGGGAAGTGGTAGACATTGATTCTTGAATCACTAAACATCACTATGAAGTATGTAATGATTCAAAACTCAATAGGTTCAATATAGCGTTTGATTAAACCTAACTCAATTTTATCCCTTTTTTTTTTTTTTTTTTTACCTTTTTTACTCCAATTTTATTTACTCTTTTGCATTACCTTGCCATTTTCTTATCTTTTCTTTTTTTTGTCCAAAAGTGATAATTACGTCCACTAAGTGTAAAAGCAATAACAACTATCAAGCATTGACTTAACCCAAGAAATGAGCTTGTTAAGCCCTTTTCTTTGGGGAAAATTACAAAGGAAGAATCAAACTCATTTACAAGTGATAATGAATTCGGAGCCAAACCCAAAATGAGCGATAATGATTAGTCAAACTCAAAAGAGCGATAATGACATAGCAAAACCCAAAATGAGCGATAATGACTCCAAATCCAAACTCGACAATAAGCTATAATGAACCTTTCCTCTATGATTTCCAAGGGTCTAACTAGAAAATTAGTCCCTTAGAAGTAATACACCGGCAATAAAGGGAAGTGTCAAACAAAAGATCATGCTTAGCATAAGAGAGATGTAATGCCCTGATAATGAACTTCCGAAGAGATTAAGCCATTTAGCATAATGGGTCTCTTTCTTATGCCTTAAGCGGTAATCTTTTGTTTGATACAACTCTTAATCAAAAGAAATAAAGAAATGAGGGAGATTACAGAGTGCTAATGAAAAGGTGTATGATTACAATGACATGAATATATATGAAAGCTATAAATAAATAAATAAAGGAAAAGGGCTATTAACTCAAATGGATTAGAATCTATGGCCTATACACCAAATCCATGAGGACTCACAACAACACAAGTGTAATATTCAAAGCATAAATTAAATAAACATATTAAACAGCCCCTAAACTCCAAAAAACAGTGGCCAAGACCAAAAGAAACAAAGTGGAAAAAGGCAAAGCAACAAGCCATGGAACAAGGCCTAAGGAAGGGTGGCTAACCCCTCCGCTTTTTGTGACTTTAAATCATAT